GTGCCTTAAAATGATGTGTAACATAACCATATTTCCTTTAGAATGTATTCCAATATTTAAAATATGGCAAATTTCAACAATGCAAAAACCACAAATACATTTGCACCAACCTAATATTTCTATCAAACTACTAATGATGTTCTTCACAGAATTAGAAAAAACAAATATTTTTATATTCATATGGAACCAGAAAAGAGCCTGAATAGCCAAGGCAATCCTAAAAAGAACAAAGCTAAAGGCATCATGTTATCCAACTATAACTTATACTACAAGGCTACGGTAGCTAAAACAGCATGGTATGGCACAAAAACAGATATAGACCAGTGGAATAGAATAGAGACCCAAGAAATAATGCTACACTTCTACAGTCATCTGCTCTTTGACAAAGCCGACAAGAACAAGCGATGGGGAAAGAACTCCTTATTCAACAAATGGTGCTGGGGATAACTGGCTAGCTATATGCAGAAGATTAAAACTGGACCCCTTCCTTATTCCATAAACAAAAATCAACTCAAGATGCATTAAAGACTTAAATATAAACCTAAAGCCATAAAAACCCTGAAAGATAACCTAGGAAATATGCAATTCTAGTCATATGATTTGGCAAAGATTTCATGATGAAGATACCAAAAGCAATTTCAACAAAATCAAAAATTGACAAATGAGACCCAATTGAAGAGCATCTGCACAGCAAAAGAAACTATCAACAGAGTAAATAGACAGTATACAGAATGGGAGAAAATATTTGCAAACTATGTGTCCATCAAAGGTTTAATATCCAGAATCTATAAGGAACTTAAACTTACAAGCAAGAAACAAATAACCCCATTAAAAAGTGGGCAAAAAACATGAACAGGAACTTTTCAGAAAAAGGTATATATGCAATCAATAAGCATATGAAAAAAGTTCAACATAATTAATCATTAGAAAAATGTAAATCTAAACTACAATGAGACACCATCTCACACCAGTCAGAATGGTTATTATGAAAAAGTCAAAAAATAACAGATGCTGATGAGGTTGCTGAGAAAAGGGATTCCTTATATGCTGCTGGTGAGAGTGTAAATTAATTCAGCCATCATGGAAAGCAGTATGGTGATTCCTTAAAGAACTTAAAACAGAACTGCCATATGATCCATCAATCCCATTATTGTGCAATACTCAAAGGAGTAGAAATCATGCTTTTATAAAGATACATGCACACAGATAATCATTTCAGCACTATTCACAATAGCAAAGACATGGAATCAACCTAAAAGGCCATCAACAGTAAACTGAATAAAGAAAATATAGTACATATACATCATGGAATACTAGGCAGCCATAGAAAATGAGATCATGTCTTTTGCAGCAACATGGATGGAGCTGGAGGTCTAACCAAACTAATGCAGGAACAGAAAACCAAATACTGCGTGTTCTCACTTATAAGTGGGAGCTGTACAATGAGAACACATGGACACAAAGAAGGGAACAATAGCCTCTGGGGCCTACTTGAGGGAAGCAGGTGGGAGGAGGGAGAAGATAGAAAAAATACTTCTTGAGTTCTATGTTTATTGCCTGATTGATGAAATGATCTGTATACCAAACCCCCATATCACCCAGTTTACCTATATGACAAACCTGTACATGTACCCACAAACCTAAAATAAAAGTTAAAAAAAAGAAATGTAAAAGAACATAACAATTATGGTAACTTTGAAATGCATAAACTATCACGCACAAGAGAAAAACTGAGTCTTTGTCTATAGAAGTTGGAAAAATTGTTATAGAGAAGCTCATCTCTGATCTGAGAATTAAAGAATATGTGAGAATTAGCCAGGCACTCAAGGTTTATTTCAAACAATAGATGTTAGTGAGGTTCCAGAAAAAGGGAACACTTATACACTGTTGGTGGGAACGAAAAATAGTTCAGCCACTGTAAAAAGCAGTTTGGAGATTTCTCAAAGAACTTAAAATGAAGCTACCATTTGACCCAGCAGTGGTACCCATTAATTATGTACCCATTATGTTCATTGTAGCACTATTCACAATAGCAAGGAAATGGAATCAACCGAATTCATAATATAATTATGTACCTATTAATTATATACCCATTATGTTCATTGCAGCACTATTCACAATAGCAAGGACATGGAATCAACCTAATTCATAATGTAATTATGTACCTATTAATTATATACCCATTATGTTCATTGTAGCACTATTCACAATAGCAAGGACATGGAATCAACCTAATTCATAATATAATTATGTACCTATTAATTATATACCCATTATGTTCATTGCAGCACTATTCACAATAGCAAAGACATGGAATCAACCTAAGTGCCCATTAACAGTGGACTGGATAAAGAAAATGTGGTATATATACACCATGGAGTACCATGCAGCCATAAAAAACAAAATCACTCCCTTTACAGCAACATGGATGAAGCTGGAGGACATTTTCCTAAGTAAATTAATGAAGGAACAGAAAACCAAATACTATATGTTTTTACTTTTAAATGGAAGCTAAACATTGAATGCACATGATTGTAAAGATAGAAACCAGAGACACTGGTGCTCACTAGATGGGTAAAGGAGGGAGCAGGGCATGGGATGAACAACCACCTATTGGATACTATGCTTATGGCCTGAGTGATGGGATCATGGGGACATGAAGTCTCAGCATCACACAATTTACCCATGTAACAAACCTGCACAACATGTACTATTTAATCTGTAATAAAAGTTGAAATTTATAAAATTATTTTTGACAATAAAGGAATAAAGAAGTTCATTTCAGATGAAGGAAAGAGCTTTTGCAAAGGTACACCCGTGCAGTTCAGCCCGGTGTATTCAGGGGGTTGCAAATGGTTCAGTTGAGGTACGGTCTAAAGTGCTGGAGTGAATTTGGCAGATTTGGCCAGATGCTTGGTTGGAGAATCATTTCTGAAGGGCTTTGTCTGTTGTGTGAAGAGTGTCGTACATGGTCACGCTGGTGGCAAAGTGAGAAATAGGATAAGGGAAAGGGATAAGAAGCTAGTTAGCCATGGAGAGGGCATTGCATTTATTTCTAGGCAATGGATGAATAGGGTCTGCACCGAGGTAGAAGCAATGAGGAGGGAGAGGGGTAGCTGAATCAGATAAATATGTGTATATTAGGAACTGTGATGCTGACGGCTCTCTATGAATGGCCTTGTTCTAAAGAGACACCTCCTCTCCATCAAATTCATGACTGCTTCTCGGAGCAACCCACATAGAGTGACATGGTTACAAGGAAAGTGGGAATAAGACCTGCCACCTCATCTTGGGATGGCACTAAAGGACCATCCAGTTTCAGAGCTCCCAGTGGGGTGAGTGAAGGACTTTGGTGAGGGTGCAGCACAGCCCAACTTCTTCCTCTGCCCCATTTCCCTCTGCTCATGTGCAAGGGCAGTTTCCAGAAACCTTTTCACACACAAATTTCCCCCTCAAAATCTGCTTGTGAAGAACACAAACTATGACAAACTGGGATATAGAAATAATAGATTTGAAAACTGATTTAATAAGAGGCGTAGCAAAAAGGAGACACCTAGAATGGTTGCTCCAGTCACTGAGATAGAGACACAGGATGTGGCCAAAATGGGCAAGTGTGAGGTTGAAGAGACAATAATTCAGGAATAAACTGAGTTTGACTTGCCTGTGGAGCATTCTGCTGGAAGTGTCCAGTAGATAGTTGAATTTTCCAGGCAGGAACTTACAAAAGAAGTTGTCATGATAATGAATGGGAAGGTTGTGGGAAAAGATGTATATTGAGGAAAAAGGAGGGCCGAAGGGAAAATCCTGGGAAAATCTATCAGAAAGGTCCAGGAGACAATTAACTGGGACAGTTAATAGCTTGTGATGGGAGAATTATTATTGCCGATAAGACTTGATGAGGTGTGCATAGAAAGCAGGAAATAAAACTCTGGAGAAACCTGTTTTTTTAAATGGAAAGCAGATGAGATAGAATCCCGAAGACTGACATTCTTTTCACATGAGAATGGGTAGAAAAGGAAACAAGTTGGATTTTTTATTTCTGAACAGTCACCAAGTCCTGTGGATTCTATTGCTGAAATAATTGAGGTTTCTGGGACAAGAAGGCAATGCACATGAGGAAGACATCAACTTGATTCTCAGGAAGACTTTTACATCAAGCTCTGGCAGTCCTTGATCAATTATTTTTGTGCCTGGGCCTCACTGGCTCCTAAAAGAAGCCCCACTGTGAGGGAACCAGGGGTTTATTCCAGTGCCTGGAAAGAAAAGGGGCATTTCCAAACTCCTAGCTTTGGCCTCATACTGGGGACAGGGAATTTTGTTTTATAAAATTCAGCATATCCAGATAATAAAGCAAGTCTATCTGCACCTGCAGGTTAAAATGAATCTCAGCAGAGATCAAAGCGTGGGGTAGTACATGAAAAATTGTTCTTGTAGATCACAGCCTCTGGTACTTGAACTTCAACTTCTGAGTCAGATTTAATGATAATTAAATTTACTTACAGTGAAGTTCTAGAAAACAAGTCAGTTATTTTGTTTTTCATAGAAAGGCAACCAAATATAGAGCTAAGTGGTGGAGCTGAGCTGGGAAGAAATGGAGCAGAGAAAGGTTAGACAGGATAAAGGAGCTGTCAGTGGGAACAGAACCAAGTGTGGAATGTTGCAAAGTGGGTGGACATAATGGCAAAGGGGCCGTAAAAACTACATTGGATTGAGCTGATAAAAAATGCTCTTGTTGAAAATCATGAGCTTTTGTCAAATGCTCAAGTTCATTCTCCTGAAAGGTCACTATTAGGCTAGCTCACTAGGAAAAATAAATAGGGCAGATTGATTCAGTGTAGCGTGTGGTTTCATAGTCACTAAAAGTCACATGGTTCGGGGACACTGATCGAAAGTGGTCCTTAGCTCAGACCAAGGCTCACACTGCCTAAGCCCACTGAAAGCTCTAAACACTCCACATCCCACAACACACATCCAGGTGCCCTTTGGAGCAAACAACTCACCCGTGTGTCTGTCTTTCTGTGTAGAGAGCAGGTGGCCAAGAAGCACTGTGCTAATAACTGGTGGCACAGAAGTAAAGAGCTGTGTGGTTGGAGGTGGCAGACTCTAGGGACAGGGAGAATTTAGGCTGTTCCTGTCGAGAGACACTGTATCCATGAGAGATCTCTCCTTTGTTTATATCTTGGACACCAAGGGAGTAGTAGATCAACCGTAGCCCCAGTCCTGGGTCCTGTCGATACCAGTACATTTGATTATCATTCCTAGTCTGAGAACATTCCAGCGTAATCTTCTTTCCTGTCTTTGCGATCCTATTCCTTGGGGTCTGGGTAACACCAGCATCCATGGACCCTGTGGGGAAATAAGACAGAAACTGAAGACAGAGCCTGGTAAGTGTCCTCTTGCTGCAGTCTCTAGGGACAGGCTTAATCCAGAACCTGGAAAATTTAAGGCAGTGATTTCCCCATCTGCTTTCCAAACTCACCTGTTCCCAGGAGACAAAAGGCCACACAGAAGAGGAGCAGGGAGGCCATGGCAGGGAGAGGCAGGATGGAGGTGTTTCCAGCTCTGGATGTTGATGGAAGCAGGGCAGGAAATAGAAAACTGGGAGGAATCAGGAAGTGATGTCATTGTCCCTCCCAAGGTACTGGCCTTAAAGAAAGATGCAACTTTGTCTTAGGTATTGCATATTCTCAGCAGATGCTGAAACTCTTCTACTTGCTTCTCTTCTCTTTCTGGTGCTTTACTGACAACCACCAGAGAGTCGTCTCTCTCCCCTTCTCAGGGCATACCTATTTCAGTTGTTCAAGGAGAGATCATCCTCCTGACAAAACATACGGGAGAAAATTCAAAACCAAATTGAATGTCGAATAAAGGGAGTGTGGTCTCATTTGGATGAGAGGACATTATAGCTCTTCTCCTTTTTTTCTGCATTTAATTGTTTATTCTAACTAAGCTCTTGGTAAACTGTACTGTTTGAATACATTCTCTGTAAAGTTTGAGACTTTTTTGTTTGTTTTAAGGAGGATGGAATTCCTAACTTTGTTTCAAATTGCTCCAATTTTTTAGTGACTCCTGCTTTTCTGGTCAATGTGTTCTGGGCACAGAGCTTTATTAAAAATACAAATTTATTATAGAAAGGCGTTAGGATAATGTGGGTATGTGTTTCAAAGAAGTACTCAACACCTTCATTCCTATTTTGAATTAGCTGAAAATACAGTGGTTCATTAAAGAATTGATTTTATCCTAATGTATATTATTCCTGACTTTAGGAGGAAAGAGTTTAATATTTAATGCAGCAGATTGCAAGTACAGAACAGTTATAGCGATAGCGTGAAACCTCATCTGATGTAATAAACAACTGACTCTTTGCTGCTTCAGATTTGTGCTTGTCCTGGTGAAATAGGAGAGTTCCCTGACCCCCCCTCGAAGGACTTGCTACAGGAGTGTAACTCACCTCTTTGATAGCTGCAGCTACTCAAACCCTTGAGGGGAGAGGGAGCACGCAGATGGACAGATGCAGGAGCCCAAGTAGGCAGATAGCCCTGCCATCTGCGCACGGCTTGTGTGTTAACTAGCTCAGTGAAACCTCTGCTTTTTTTGCAAGGGCAGAGGGCCAGTGTGACAGCTTTCTGTATCGCTGAGGTCAGCGTCCTGGAAGAATCGGGTCACACACGGGCTTGAAGGATGAGTGTGGGGTTTTACTGAGTGTGGGGCTGGCTCTCAGTGGGATGGATGGGGAGCTGGAAGCGGGGATGGAGTGAGAAGATAATCTTCCCCTTGGAGTCTGGCCACCCAGGGGCCAAACTTCTCTTACCACCCCCAGCCAAACTTCTCTTGGGGTTCAGACATTTCACTTCTCTTTCTTTCTGCCACGTCATTCCACCTTCTGTCTGCTTGTCTCCTCGTCTCCTTGCCTGCTTGTCTGCCTCTGAAGCCTGGGGTTCGGGGTTTAAATAGGTACAGGAAAGGGAGCATCGCAGGCCAAAAGACAAATTTTGGGACATGAAAACAGGAATGCCTGTCCCATTTACAGCTGCAGGTCTCCAGGCTTGAGGGTGGGGCCTTTGCCAGGAAGCTGCCCTCTTCTACCCAGTATTTCTGTCTCCTGTCCGTATCACTGGCTCTCCCTCATGCATGGGTACACCATGGCATTCTACCCTAATCATTACTGCTGCATGCCACATTGGTATGGTCTTATTTTTAGATATTTTTACTTTTAATTCTAAAAATTTTCAAACATTTACAAAGTAAGCTTAAGAAAATAATGAGCCTTTGTGTCCCCACATGAGGCATCGTTGGTAATTACCAGCTCCTCATGGCCTCTCCTGTTCATCTACCACCTCCTTCACTGCTTCTCCCTCTCCTGTTATTTTGAATAGTTGTTGTTTTATTTAGGAGTACCCAAGCACATTTTTACAGCCATTGCCTATACTCCAGATGACATATTCCAGTGTCCTCTCCCTTCTCTTCTTTCTGGTTAGAGTTCTCCATTAGCAATATGAATAAAAATGTGGATTTGTTCCTGTAAATTGCTTATCCAGGGCTCTCATGAATATAAACAATATAATGATTATAAGAACTTTTATTTTGGGTTCATCTTCAATGTAAAAAACAAAACAAAACAAAACAAAACATTGCCCTTATTTGCAATTCTGAAAGTAAACATGCTGTTTTGCTGCCCCCTGCTGTGGGCAGTAATTTGAGCAGAATTAATATTTGGGAGCCGAATATAAACTATTCTTGGTGATCATGTTCGTTGAGAGAGGACTCATATCCAGTGGCTGAGAGGACCATTTCTGGGGGAAATTTCTAATAGAAGTTTGTAGGTACCCAGCAAGGAAAGGAAAAGCAGAAATCATTCTGGGAGCAGAATCTATGCCCGAGGAGGAGTGAGTGTTATCAGAGGAATGAATGGAGGAGACACACAACTGGGCTGGAATGAAATTGAAAAAGGCATCCCAATTTCTGGACAAATGAGAGGGTTCTTAAAGGCACAGGCCAATAAATATTCTCTACTCCAGGCTGGCTCACATACTTCTCAAATTGTATTAATAATCCACTTTCACTCTGATGTATCCTCTATCACAGGCAGAACACAGCCTTCTCGGTCTTACCCACATACCATGTCCATCTGTGTGCTGTGCGTGTGTCCGTGTTCTAAGGATTGTTGCACCCCTCATTCCATGTGTTAGTTATTGATCTGTATAACACACATCCTCTGGCACAAAGACTGTCAAAGGAGAAATAATTTTATTTCTTTACTATTGCTTAGAGATGTTGGTGTCCTAAGAGAATTTTGGCCTACTCTCCACTCACAAAGATGTTTTTCTATATTTTCTTCTAGAATATTTGTAGTTTCAGCTTTTATAATTATATCTATGAGACATATCCATTTAATTTTCATTTATGGTGGTAGGTGACAGTAAAGGTTTATTTTTTCCCCATAGATTATCCAGTTTTTCCAATATACTTGTTGAGAATTACCATCTTAATGCATTGAAACTTCCAATCCATAAACATGATATATCTCTCCATTTAAAAATGTTTTCTTTAGTTTCCCTTCTTGAAGTTTTGTAGTTTTTAATTGAAATCCATTGCTACATTTGTTCTTATGTAATTTATTATTGGTACTACTGTAAATAGTATAATTTTCTAAAGTTTGTGTTTCAATTGTTTGCAACTAGTAAAAAAATTTTGATTTTTAAAATACTGATGTATCCTGTGATATTGGTAAATTCACTAATTATTTCTAGTTGTTGTTCCTTGATTTCTTATGATTTTTTTTATGTAAACAGTCATGTAGTCTGCAAATAGTTGTAGTTTTACTTCTTCCTTTTCAATATTTAAAACTTTTATTTTTGTTGTCTTATAATGCTGGTTAAGATCTCCAATATAATATTGAATAAAAAGAGTGAGAAGCTTAGCACAATGATCTCTTAAGCTCAAGAACTCAAGTCCTGCCTGGGCAATATAGTGAGACCTCATCTATAATTAAAATAAAGTTGAAAGTAATGACAAAACTTAATGGCTTGTGTCTGATTATAGGAGGAAAGTGCCTATCACACTATTTAATCAGATGTTATGAGTAAATTTTTCATTTATAACTTTAATCAGATTGAGATAATTGTCTTACTGGTTTACTGAAAGTGTTTCTTTTGAGTAAGTATGGATTTTGTCAAAGGTTTCTCTGCATCGATTGAGACGGTCAAATGATTATTCTTCATTATTCTGCTGATACGGTGAAGTATATTGACTTTGGAAGGCTAAACCACTGTTTCTGCTGCAATAAACTCACTTGGACATGTTGTAGAATCATTCACATATGCACATATGCATATGCACACAAATATATACATATATTCATACATACTTAGACTTATTTATTTATTTTTGATCTAAAAGTATATTTTCTATTTTTGAAGTAAATTAATTTTTGGAAGCTTTTGCTAATCGAAATGCAAGTGAATTATCTAGGCCCACCCCCAACTCTATTTTTTTTTTTTTAGTTCTGGGGTACATGTGCAGGATGTGCAGGTTTGTTACATATGTAAATGTGTACCATGGTGGTTTGCTGCACCTATCAACCCATCACCTAGGTATTAAGTCCAGCATGCACTAGCTTTTTTTCCTAATGTGCTCTCTCCCCACTTCACCCCCCAACAGGTCCCAGTGTGTGTTGTTCCCCTCCCTTTGTCCATACGTTCTCATGATTCAGTTCCCACTTATAAGTGAGAACATGCAGGATTTGGTTCTCCGTGCCTGGGTTAGTTTGCTGAGGATAACCACTTCCAGCTTCTTCTGTGTCCCTGCAAAGGACATGATCTCATTCCTTTTTATGGCTGCATAGTATTTCATGGTGTATATGTACCACATTTTCTTTATTCAGTCTATCATTGATGGGCATTTGGGTTGGTTCCATGTCTTTACTATTATGAATAGTGCTGCAATGAACATATACATGCATGTATCTTTGTAAGAGAATGATTTAGATTCCTTTGGGTATATATCCAGTAATGGGATTGCTGGGTCAAACAGTATTTCTGATTCTAGATCTTTGAGGAAGCAACCAACAGTGTAAAAGCTTTCCTATTTCTCCACAACCTTGCCAACATTCATTGTTTTGTAACTTTTTCATAATGACTGTTCTGACTGGCACCAGATGATATCTCATTGCTGTTTTGATTTGCATTTCTCTAATGATCACTGATGTTGAGTTTCACTTTTGGTATGTTTGTTGGCTGCATGAATATCTTCTTTTGAGAAGTGTCTGTTCAAGTCCTTTGCCCACCTTTTAATCAAGTTGTTTGTTTTTTTCTTGTAAATTTGTTTGAATTTCTTGTGGATTCTGGCTATTAGACCTTTGTTAGATGGATAGACAGCAAAATTTTCTCTCACTCTGTAGGTTTCCTGTTTGCTAGGATGATAATTTATTTTGCTGTGCAGAAGCTCTTTAGTTTAATTAGATCCCATTTGTCAATTTTGGCTTTTGTTGTAATTGCTTTTAATGATTTCATCATGAAATCTATGCCTATGCCTATATCCTGAAAGGTATTGCCTAGATTTTATCCTAGGGTTTTTATAGTTTTGGGTTTTACATATAAGTCTTTAATCCATCTTAATTTAGTTTTCATATAAAGTGTGAGGAAGAGGTCCAGTTTCAGTTTTCTGCAAATGGATAGCCAGTTCTCCCAGCACCATTTATTAAATAGGGAATCCTTCCTCATTGCTTATTTTTTCAGGTTTG